TCTATACTGTACACAAATGTCAACATACATCAGGTCTTCTATACTATACACAAATGTCAACATAGGTCAAGTCTTCCTATATATATACTGTAACAAATGTCAACATACATCAGTTTTTCTCTACTGTACACAAATCTAAACAAACATGAAAAGTTTTATACTGTACAAAATTATCAACACGTAAAAGTTTTTTTATATTGTACACAAATCAAAAATCAGGTTTTCCTTGCTGTATATAAAGCACACAAATGTCAACTTAGTTATAAACACTCCCTATAATCTACACAAAATATTAACATACATCAAGTCTTACTTTATTCTGTTTACAAATGTCAACATATACCAGGTCATTTTTTATACAGCAGTTGCAAATGTATGCCCCTAGGTTTGTACTTAATCTTACAGTGATGATGTCCCTGGAGGTACACCCATGCCACCTACTCCATGTCTGGACAGTTATATAGGGTACTTACATCCTACAATTCACATCACGAGAGACCGGCCAAAGAGGATCAATATCTGTCCCAAACGACATCAGGTAAATCGCCGTCCTTGTGGAAAACTGCTCATCTAACATGTGCTAGAATAACCAAACGTATATAACAGGTAAAAAATAATATTTAGTTAGTAACAGGTAATGGGTTATAAATTAACAATTCAGTTTGTGTGGAACATCAAACTTCTGAACAATATATTGTATACTTATAAAATGTGTAATATGTACCATGTGTTAAAAAAAACAGTTATCACAGAATGAAATTGCATTGAGTTACACACATCTCACAAGTGCCCTACATCCCACCCTTCAATACTTTGTTACTTACAATCAGAGATTCCTGAAAAGTTGTAAGTCTCCCAAAACCAGCATTGGCATCAGAGTTGTCCACTAGAACAGCAACACGCTTGCCTCTGATGTTACCAAACACCTACAATTTAAGGACAAGTGAGTGTCAAACTAATAAAAACAGTCTAGAGAAAAATTGGTCAAGTCCACTCAAGATAAATAAAAAACCACATACAACGATGATCATCAATAGATAAACAAAGTAGAGGTAAACAAAATGATCTTTTCAATATACTGCTTGCCCTTAACTGACTTAGAGACCAACTAAATGATCACTACAAAATACAGCTCAACCATTTACTGAATTAGAGATAATTTACTTGTGTAGACTGTAGAGACAAGCAAAATGATCTCTTTCATGTACTGCTTGGCCTTTATAGACAAATCAGTGACAAACTAAATGATCTCGGAGACACAATGCTCACCCGTTTACTACCCTGTAGGAGCCACTTGATCCTTTTGGTGTACATCTCTATGGAACTAAAGGAAAACAGAAACAGTATGTTACTACATGTACCAATATCATAATTCATCAACTCTTTTAACTTGTAAGTGTCTATTATTCATAGTGTGATGTTGTAACCATGTGTTCAGTATGTATTTAAAAAAAATGATGTACACACATGTTCGGGTACAGTATTCAAACAAGGACATAGGTTCTTTGTATTCATATGGTATCCATACTCACGTGTTCAGTCGATATTCAAACTCGTTGACATCGTAAGCCTCAAACTGTATGTGCTGTGATGGTTTCCCTGTCCTATGGTCTGGCTGTAAACTGGAGAAATAATACTATGCACTGAGTACATTAAGTGAAGTAAACAAGCATGATCATACCTAAAACAATAGTAACAGAAATATTCTTTTGAAATTAACAATGACCAATTGATAAAAAAAAATAGCATCAACAAATGGAACTAAAAGAGTTTATGAAAAAATTCAAGACCTGCATCAAGAAATAACAAAAGAAAAGGAAAAACATTAAATAGACATCATACACTCATAGGATCATGTTCAGTGTCCTAACACAAGTGTAGTATATATAGTCAATGTAAGTTAACAAATTATATTGGTTGTATATCCTGTAAACTATCCTCAACAGTTAGTAGGGAGTATAACTATATGTATACATGTGTCCTCAACAGTGTTTACATTATTAGTAGTTAGCGTCCTCTATAACACATTAAGTGTGTAGTACATGTATAACTAAAAGTATATATGTGTATCATTAACAGCACAATGAGTTAAGAGTAACTATTCTAAACAGAGTGTTGAGTTTTGGTAGAGTGACTTATCCTCAATAGAGTGTTGACTTTATGAGGACCCTTACTTTCTAACTTTGCCCTTGTCCACCAGGTCCTTGAGTGTGAGTTGAAGATACTCAAGGCTGTGGAACTTTAGCCATTCCTCTGATGTTTGTAGCTCAGAGGCAGTAACAGACTCAGCATGTTTGAGGCTCTGAAAAATTAATATTTAGTTTAAGCTATTACAGATAATTGTTCTTCAGTAATTGTTTACTTGTTTTCCAAATATTGTCTTTTGATGACTTCTTAGGAGATTGAGAGAATTGGGAAACGTGTCTTAAAATAACTGTTTAACATTTCATCTATTGTCAACAAAGATATGTAGCAGTTTAACCTCGTTTATTACTGCATACATGTATTTCTTTTTATAAATACATGAAGTGGGAAACACCTCACCATTAAGTCGATGGTCTGGTTGACATGAGTGACAGTCAATGGGTGTGGGGGTCTTGCATTTTTCACCAAAACAGATTGCCAGGGAATAACACCTCTGGAACTGAAACAGTAAACACTTGTTGGTTACAAACATGATCACACAAGCTCTGTCAACACCATTTCATCATATTATTTACATAGTAACAGTAATACAGTTCAGCTATTGATGAAAACTGTTAACATATTTTATTGTTGTATTTGGACAGCAGCGGCCTAGTTTGAGCACAAGTTATTATAATAACATTACAAAGGCCCTCACCATAAGAGAGCTGTTGCTAAATTCAAAGGTCTGAATGACCTGCAGGTTAAATTAGCTGTAAGCTACTACTTCAAATCTAAAACAGATTGCATACTTCAATTTTAAATGCTGCTTTTGATCTTTTGTCAATTTCTAAGTCCTGGTGTCAGCAAAAAAAGGAAAATTCATTTCTTTTTACGTTACCTGATAACTAAAATATAACAAGAAAAGAAGGGCCATCAGTGACCACCTATGATTTCTTAACTAGTAAGTCATCTGTAGACTGACAGTCCTAGGCCTGTTATTAACTTTTATGCAAATAGTCAAAATTAAAACATCTTATTTGATTTTTTTTTTTATAAAATTAAGACACTTACTCTTGATCTTCTCCAAGAAGTTCATCAATATCCTCATCATCCTCGTCCTCTTCTTCTTCATCATCATCATCATGGATAATTCCAAGTTCCTGATCAGAAATCACTTCTTTTTCATCTTTTTCTTTAAAATTTTCCTCCCTTAAAACGTAATGAAAATTGATGTTAATTTATTACACTGTGTAAGAACACTGAGACTCAGATCTGTAAGATACAAAATCTACTGACCTACTAAGCTCTGAGTTTGTCTCCATGAACTTGTATATCTATATAGGTACACAGATGCTTCTCTTTTTTTAATTCAAGTGTACCCTTGTCAGATTTAATAAAGGACCTTATTGTCTGCGAAATGTTCTAAATTACCTTTTTATTTCTGGTTATTTTAATTGAATGCAGCCTGCTGAATCTATTTCAGAGGCGGCAGAGCATGCAGAGACTGTCACTGTTGGGTCACGGGAGAGGGGAATTAAGATGATTCCAAACAGTTAAGAAAGAAAAATGGTAGTGTATACTGTACACAGCATTGCATTTTGGTGATTGCCACAAAAATACTCTAGATCCACGACTGTGGGTTGATTGAAAACTAATGCAGCTGATAAAGTTGATCACTCACGACAAACTTATTGTAGTGCAATCAGGGTCAACTTTATAAACAGAAGCCGACCCTCGGGATTACGGCAAGGGTTAGATACTATCAATTATATCCTCTTGTCCGATTTTAGATTCAGCATGGACAAGTGGACCACATCATGATGCCTCTGTCAATAGTGTAAACTTTATAAGTTACATGGTACACCTAGCTACTACCCTACTCCCTAGGAATGATGTTCAGACTTGAGGTTTTCCAGTCAAATCAAATCAAATCAAAAGTTTTATTTAACGTCGTTACAATAATACATGTAAAGAGGGATACTAAAGAAAATGCTATATCGAACACCTGCTCTCTAGGTACTAGCCTCGTCTGCTAATATACACACATATATATATATATAAGCATACAATTGTAGGTGTTCGACAGACGAGGCCTGAACCTGTGCATGTCTTGTACTTTTCAGGTGTGACGTGAACAACACAACGATAGATAACATGTGACATAGACGGCCTGAAACTCAATGATCTCTTACTCTGATTCCTCGATCACGGGATCGATGTAGGGGTTTCTTCTTCTCCCAAAAATACCTTCCATTTTGTCGTCGCTATAACAGTGTGTCAAGAGCTGCGGCCATTGTTGTTTTCGTGTTGCCAATACTGCGGCAGTACAGCATTAATGAAAATTTTGCGTTCTGATTGGTCGAAATTGAGAGCACTTGTTTTTGTGGCGCACTTTTTAAATTGATTGATGATTTCTTATGAAATGTTTAACGATATGTGTTGGCAGTAATTAGGGAAGTAATGACATAATTTATGATTCACAGGAACCCGTTACATTCATAAATATTTTAGTACTTGTATTCGTATTCAATTCAATAATTTTATTGTTCATTTATAGCTACAGAGTAACTTGTACAGAGAAACTGCAATAGTGAACAATATAAATAAACTTACACAGAAGCCAGGCCCACACTCCTCAGTTCAAGTG